TTTGTCTCAAAAAATTATGAGGAATAAAATAAAAATTATCTGACTAGGATACCCGAGACTAAAGTTATGACCTTCCAAAATGTTACGGTAAAATATATCAAATTTAGTATCACATTATATCACAAAGCCTCTCCCCAAGTTCAATATTAAATTATTAAGAGTATATTACTATAGAAACTCGTTTGATCTAAAAAATCTCGTGAAAAGAATTTATCAGAAAAATATTTTTGCAGTTAATGCAGATAAGTTATCTGCATTTACTTCTAAAATGATGTCGTATTGGGATTGAAAGATTAAAAAGTATAATTATAAAGACTATAATAATCCTAAAATAAATTAAAATTATAAAAACACCATAATTTCTGCCCAAAACGACGTCGTATTGAACTTATTGCTGCAGTAACTGCAGAAAAAGCGAACCCAAAATTTATATAACTTCGTTTACTAATATAATCGATTACCGTATATTGATGTATCGATTACATGATTCAGTCAACGATCAAATAAATAGAATAAAATAATAATTTTTAATTTAATTAAGGAAAAAAAAAAGTGAAAAAACATTATTGATGGCAACAGGATGTACTAGTTTGCTCCTTGATGCAAGGAGTATTTAATGATCAACCAGCTACTTGTGTCTTCTCTTCCTTTATGTCAATTTCTTCTTTATGGTTTGTAGACTTCGGGGCATCTGTGCTTGCGCAATTCTAATTAATGTAGGCCTCAAACTTAAATGCTCGGGAACCCGAGGCTTTCGTTCATTTTTGTACTGGAATAGTTCCAAAGCCGTACTTTTTTGTTATTTTTTTATTGACCTTAATTAAATTTTTAAGATGAATTTAAATATTTCCACAAAATATAACTAAAATTCTCCAATTTTTTTAAATGTATTTTTAGTTGGAATTCAACTCAGTTCTTTTTTCATTCTACTCAACTTTAAAATTATCATATATCACCATAATAGGTGTCATAGGAACTTCACTTAAAAAATAAATAAATAAAAATGGAATCTTCCATGTGATCTTCGTATTATTATTTTTTGGATAAATGTGATCTTCGTATTTGAAAAGTTTTTTTGTTATCTTCGTAATCGAATTTTTCTTTTGTTGTACAGATTTTCATTAATAAATCCGTACAAACTACGCGTGTAGGGGTATAAATTGGGCTAGGTCAGCCTACAGGGACCTACGGTCTAGTCTATATTAGACAAGACTTGACCTATTACAAATAATAAAATAGAATAAACATAGGCTTTTAAAAAAATCTATTTCGAAAACAGGCCATAGACTTTTCTTCTACATGTCGGACCTATAAGCCTATATGCCGGCCTATATCATATTATTTATTTTAAATAAAATTATTATTTTAATAATTTTTGAATAATAAAATAATATTATTTTAGTTATTCTTTTAATTGTTGAATGTTTAATAAGTCAAGACTTTTATTTTTTAAATATAGGTCGGGATAGACTTGTAATTTGGGGTCTACACAGGCTAATAGGTGAGGTCAGGCCAAATTTTTTAGAACAAACATGACCTCTTTAAGCCAAAGCCTAGCCTAGTTACATCCCTATGCATGTGATTGCACATCAAGTAGTTTAAGGGTGTGTTGTGCATGACAATCATTCTATTTCTTAGCACTTTTCTGCAAAGAAACAATTTTTTTCTATTTCTGCGCCTTGTAACGTGTCCTATTTTTATTCCGAGAATGAGAATTGTGTTGGATAACACAACAAATAATATAATAACAAATAATTCCTATTAAATATAAATTTTTTTCAGATCATCACTTTCCTTTCCATATGGTGTGGCGGCGGCGAGTGACATCGTGGTGATGGCGGTGGCAGTGATGTGGTGAAGATAATGGTGGTGGTTGTGACGGCAATGACTGGTGGAGGTGGTAGCCGTGGCTGCAACAATGGTGGTGGGTATGGTGGTTGGTGGTAGGAACAATGGTAGCAATGACATGGTGGCAGTGGCTGCGGCGGTGGCGACGGTGGCAGTGGTGGTAGGTGACAGTGGTGGCGATGGCGTCGTGATGGTTGGCGGGGGTGGTGGTGGTGACGGTAATGGCTGTGATGGTGGTGGTGGTTGGTGGCGGCAACGGCGATTGTGGCTGCGACAATGGTAGTGATAATTGGTGACAGTGGTGGTGATGGTAGTGGTGGCGTCGTGGTGGTGGTAGTGGTGGTGATGGAGGTGGTGGTAGTGGCGTGTGATGGCGATGGAGGCGGTGACAGCAGTGGTTGCGATGATAGTGGTTGATGGCGGTAGTGGTGATGGTGGTGGTGACGGTGACGGTGATAGTGGTGGTGGCGGTGGTGGTGGTATCGTAGTGGTGAGGGGTGGTACGACGACACTAGTGATACGATGTCGGCGGCGATGATGGTGGCGGCAATCGTGTCTGGATGATGGTGGTGGTGGTGGTGATGATGATAGGGGTGGAGAGTGATTGAGAGAGATAAGTATTTATCATTTTTTGTCCGAGAATAAAAAAACAAAAATTTTCTGATTCTTTTTTCTGTTCCCAGCATAAAAATTAAACCGGTTTATCCCGAGAACAAAAAATAAACTGGTTTTACCAAACGAATTTCCTATTCATTTATGTTTCCGGAAACAGAAATTACAAAAGAATTGATTATGGGAAGGTTGTCATGCACACCCTTAAATGATTCAACATAATCTCTCTTTTTTTCTTTTAAATCTTTTGAGATTTGGACAGGTTTGCAAATGGAAAAAAAATGAGAATTTCATAATGTGAAAAGTGTTTAAATTAGTAAAATCCCTAGTGATGGTATAACAAGGTTTAATTGCTCGCGATTGAGAACAAAGTCTCTTATACATTCCTGTGGGTGGACGTAGGTGGGTGGGTGATTTAAATGACATGGCAACTATAAAAATGTTGTTCATAATTTTATTTTTTATTTTTTTATGCTTCCGTCTTACACTTTTTTTAATAGAAAACATATTAAAAAACAAAATAGTATTCTATCGTGTCTTTTTATCACAGGCTTTCAACTTCTCATGTCACTTCAAAAGAGCAAAACTTTTAACAATCATAAATTCTTGTGAAGCCCACACTTGTAAATAAAAAATATAAAATTTCTCCATGCAAATTGAAAGGTCATTGGCTTCTCCGGAAGAAGTGTTTTTCTCTTTTATCATAATCATTCACTTTTTTTTAATGGTTCATGTTCTTTGCAAAAAAATTGTGCAAGAAACATTTCTCATCATTGTTTTATGGAAAAAAATTACGTGTCATCTAAAAGAATATAAAGTTGTGTCATTTTAAGTGAGAGAAAGAGATAAATCATAGAAGAAAGAATGGACAAAAAGATAAAGGTGTGGGTCCTACATCTTTATAAAAGTAAAATGACATAAGTTGTGTCATTTAAAAGGACAAACACTTTTATCTTATTTTATAACTAATAACAATTTTTTATTACTATTAAAACTTTCGGGTGTGAGTGAAGAATAATTAAATTTGACATATGTTAAAAACAGATTAAATGGATAAAATCCATTAACGCATCCGTTAAAATGTTATAATTTCATGTCACATCATTCGTTATGATTTGAATTTGCTATATCCGGAACAGTGATCAAAATGTTACTGTTCATTAACTTTTTTACTTAAATGCCACGCGAACAGTATTATTTCTCAATCTGCCACGGGGACAAGTTCGCTACCCGGTGTAGCGAACTCGGTTTGCTGACGTGTCACGTTTCTAGTGGATACCAACTTGATTTTAACCAAGTTCGCCTACATGGTAGGCGACCTTCATTTTTTATTATTATTATTATTTTTTTAAATTTGATACTTGTTATTCATTAAAAATATGATACATCAGTAAATCGAGTTCGCTACACAGGGTAGCGAACTTGCCCCCGTGGTATATTGAGAAATAACATTGTTCGCGTGGCATTTAGATAAAAAAGTTGATGAACAGTGATATTTTGGTCAGTGTTCCACTGTATCCTTCCATTATTTGAAGTTTTGGGCTCCGCAAAAAGGAATTTGTCATTATAAAGTCTGTATAAATATCATTTTAGAATTGATTTATTTTAATTGAGTCGTGTTATTTTAATGTCATATTGTTATATAATTTTTAACATTTTTATTGTTTGGTAAGAAAAAAACAAAAAGGCTGCGTTAAAAAGTATTTTTTATTTTATTATTAAAAAAATGATTTAAGAATGTTATAATAAAACTATGAGCAAGTATATATAAGTAAGGAGAACCTTGTCATCCTTATGGTCCTAATCGATCGAATTAGTCGATTAATATATAACCATTGAAAAAAATCTTACAAATAAAAATAAATTAGTGGTCAGCTTATACAAGAGAAGCTGCTTTGATATGGATGAAGAAAGAGAGCAAATTTACAAGAGAAACCTCGAAGATTATTCCATCAGCTCTAAGAGGATGTGGTCCACCGAAGGTGACTACTTAATAAAGGAGAAAGGGTTATAAATACCATTACCAGAGAGGCAAATTTGTAAGCCCCACGTATTAACAACAACAGATAAGATATAAGTAAAAGTTAGTCCCATGGATGCAGGGAACTCCCATAAAAGCATTTCAACTTTTAGGAACCCCATTAGCAAAAAGAGGAAAAAGGATAGGCAAAACAAACATCATGGATCAGGTGATGTATTTGCGGTTTTTGCCATCATTAGAATTAGATGCCGATATAAAAAAATGGAAAAGAAAGTACTTTACTTACAATTATTGCTTCAATTATTTCTTTTACCTATTAGGCCATGTCTACAGAGTAATTAGGGTATGATATTGATACCTGAGGCTGGTTCTTTTCAAAGCGTTGCTTGTTAATTCTAAAACAATAATTAAAATTGACAGATTAGATACCTTTTTTACTAATTTCAACACGCCCCTCACGCTAATTTGATCCAAGATCTCACGCTTTCCAATCACAATATTGCATAGTGTATTAATTAAGTATCAGAGTGAAGCATTATCACTTATGAGCACATGACAGCTTTTTTTACAAATGACAAAAGTAAATGAAAAAGATAGCAGAAAATGGACATGCTATTTCATGAACTACGACGTTGGAAGGTTCCTTTTTTCTTCCATTTGTGAATCACTTGAAGTTGAACCACAGGGATAGTTCCAATTAAGTAGCTCTTCAATCATCTGCATAGCAACTCTGTCTTCTTCTTCTTCTTCTACCCCATTTACAGCATTATCACCAGCATGCGGTGACTCTGTGGACTCACCCTTTGTCTGTTTCTTACCAAGCTCAACCCTCATGACCCAATTAGAGTCAGAGCGAGGTCCTGCTCCTTTTTGCCACACCCCAATGTGAGAATTGTCAGCATCTAGCCTCAGACAAGTGAGAGATGGAGAAGGGTCTTTGCAGCACTTTCTGAGCTTTGTGCTGAGGAGCTCTGAAAGAGCCTTGGGAGATAAGAAAGAGTCATCACAATTAGGTGTGGCATCTTCAGCTTGATTCTTTGAAGTTGGGAAATTGGTCTTTGCATTCTGACCATTCATCAAAATGGCTGCTTGATCATATGCCCTTGCTGCAGCCTCTGCTGTCTCAAATGTGCCTAGCCACACCCTTCTCTTCCTACATACCAAAAAACCAAAAAAGAGGATCAAATTGAAATGTCCTAAGTCATAATAAGACAAGGGATATGAAATGAAAGAGAGAAAGAGAAAGAGAGTTTATATATAAATGCCTATGATAGTAATGAAAGAAGCAGCATTGTATAAAAAAAAAAAAAAAAATAGAGTTTAGTTAAATGAGTTCATTACAGTAATGGGTGGCGAATTTCTGACACCCAAGAGCCCCACTGGCGCTGCCTGACTCCTCTGAACTTCTTTGCTTGTACCATGATCAAGTGGATACGTGTGGGGGTTAGACAGAGAAAATGAAAAAACAAAAATGAAGTTGCAGAGAATTAATATGGGTTGAGGGTACAATGTGAAATGTGCAAATTTTTTTTATGAGTTTGTGAGTGCTCTTAGGAAATTTATACGAGTTTGTCAGGTAGATTGGACGGAAAGTGGAATTGAAACTGTGGACATGGGAAATGGATCCTTTTTTAATTAATATGTGAAGGAATAGTAATCATATACAATGGAGATATTGTTGAGATATATAGTCCCACATTGATTGGATGTGTAACTAATATGGCATTTACAAGGCTTTGGGCACTCCCACCCTTTGGGTTAGCTTTTGGGGTGGTGACCTCAAGGTTCTTAATATGGTATCAGAGCCTCACCGTTCCCCACTTTAAAAAGTGGAATTAAAATAAAATAAAAAAGCACAAAAAGGTAAATAAAAAATGGGTCTGTGCAATTTCCACGCTTCTAGCCTAAATGGCTCTTGCGTGGGGGGGGCGTGTTGAGATATATAGTCTCACATTGATTGGATGAGCAACTAATGTAGCCTTTACAAGGCTTTTGGCACTCCCACCCCTTGAGCTAGCTTTTGGAGTGGTGACCTCAAGGTTCTTAATAGTAATAATTTTATAATTATATCTTTTGACAGGAAAATATTTTTGCAGTTATTGCAGATAAGTTATCTGTATTTACTTTTAAAATGACATTGTTTTGAGATTAAAATATTATAATTATAAAGACTCTAATAACCTTGAAATAAATTAAAATTATAAAAACATCATAATTTTTGTCCCAAAATAACATCGTATTGAGTTTACTATATATAAGTTATATGTAGTAATTGCACAAAAAACGAATCTATTTTTTTATATTTTTTCTCTCTTGTTTTATTATCATTGATATATATTTGTATGATTATGATTCGAAAATCCACTCCCAATCGACATGCAATAAAAGTTTCACCTGCACAAGTTTGATAAATCCATAGCTTCTTAACAACTGAAATAAATGAGCAGCGGGTAGGGCTCCTTCTGCCCACAAATTTAACAGCATCAAACCGTGCTCCAATTTTCAAAGTTGAAATAAATTTCTCACTTCCATCTGTATCCACATGTTCAAACTTCAAAGTAAGTTCTTTTGCCGTACCAAATGTGAAAAAAAGGTTTGTTTTCAACCCAACTTGAATCAACTATCCTTACTCATTGGTTACATATTTAAGTTGAGATAAGGGTCCAGTAACGTGGAAAAAGATACAAGTTCCTTCTTATCATGTGAATTCAAAATAATGTGAAGAGAATTACACTTTCTTATCATGTGAACTAGCACCCATCATTTTTATCGTATTTTTATTTAAAATATCATTATGTTTAAGGAAAATCCAATTTTCATTGATAAATGAACTTGGAACTTCAACCATTTTCTCATAAATTGCAAGTATTTGAAGAAAATAATATTTTGTTTTTACATGATGATATAAATGTTTGAATTCAATAGCCTATGTAAACAAGTCAGAAGATATAAAGATGGTTAGCTACACCGCTTTTTATTTATTAATTAATCTTCTTTTATGAAATGAAAGAAAGCGAAGAAGAACTACCTCGTAGGGGTTTCGAATTCACATAGTAAAGTAACGAACTTGAAGACCATGTCCTTAACCACTGGGAGCAACTTTACGCGGGCCTTTACTTACTTATGCGTGTGGCTTAAGCCAAAATCTAACCATTTATGGGCCTAATAAAAATTATAGACTGTTGTAATTTATGGAAATTGACTTAGTCATCTTCATTTTATGGCGCTAACGGTATGGTTAAGGAACGAAGGTCGTTGAGGTTTGTTGACTATTTATTTATACAAACCTCGGCCAGTTGTCACTTTGTCATCTGAGCTGTCGGTCCGTCAATTTATTGGTAGGCAAGATTTTAGACTTCCATCAAACGTAATTCAATTGGTGCGGGAAAATTGAAGCATGTTAAGATAAAAATATGTATTTTATCTTTTTTAGTATTATGTTTAAGAGGAAAGATTTAAAGTTTTAATTCTGAATCCGTTTTAAATAAGTTGCCTCACGTGGAGAATGCATATGATTTATCCAACAATAAAAAAAAAAAGATTTTAATCTTCCTTCGATGTTCGGCCATTTTTATTTTTTGTCATCTAATTAAAATATGATTTTTTTTTATCATTTTAAAGAATATAATTGTATCATTTTAAATGAAAATGCATAGTTGTTAACTTTTTTACATTCTTTCCTCTTTACAATGCTCTCTTTATCTTTTTTCCTAATTTTGTGAATATAAACATTGTCATTTCATTTAAAATGATATAAAGTTGTATCTTTTAAAATGATAATTTTTTTTTCTTAAAATATTTATAACTATTATTTATATTTATTTAAAATTTTGAAGACATTTAAAAATATCTTGACATACCCCCCTAGTAATATGAAGTTAATTTCCGTTACTATTGTTGAAATAATTTGATAAGGACGTGAGAGACATAAATAATGCATATGGGCGGCCTGGAAAAATAAACTAGAGTATTTTATTTATTTATTCTAGAAGTGTTTGAAAACAGTAAAATTGGAGAATGCGAAATATTTTTATTTTTTTATAATTACTTTTAAATATTTAAAAGTGTTATGTGTATTCACAAATCTATATTTTTTTATGTTTAAATCTTTAAATCTTTAAATGAATGATAAAAATTTATAATTTTTCTTTTTAAGTATTTTCAAATCATTAAATAAGAAGCTCAATGACAATATTAGAAAAAACATTAGACACAAAAATGAAGTATCACTTTTGTATTAATATCGGTATAAATAACAAAACACTCTAAAATTCTCATAGATGTGATATTATTCATATTTTAAAGGAAAAAACTACTCTTATGTTACATGTGATAATTTTCTCTCCTACTCACCCTTCGATAATTGTGCCATATTTTTCTTTTCTTTTTATTTTTCAAATGGTGGAGCCCACAAATTTATCTCTATGACATGAGATAACTTACCTCCTTTAACATGAGATTAATCAAACCCTATTTGAAAATATTAAAATTAATGGGATATCTTTTTCTCATGTTGCATGAGACAAATTGTTTCATGCAACACAAAAAAATGTAGGACTCACTTTTTTTTTTTTCTCTCTTTTTCTTAACGGGTCTCGCTCACTTTTTTGTGTGTTGCATGAGACAATTTGTCTGATACATCATGAGAAAAAACATTTCCCAAAATGAATACATAGTTACACATTATCAGTTATTCCCCCTTCTATATATATTTTTTTAAATGTTATTATAATTTGCTAAGAAAAGTTATATTTACAAATTTTTTATTTACAAACTCTTATAAACTACACTAAAAATGAAATCAATAATATATGACTGGTCATACTTAATATAATTTGTAAAAAAATATTGTAAACCAATTCTTATCCATAATTTACTACATCTTATTTACCGTACGACCTTTGACCAAGCTCGGCAGACTATTGGCGGCATAGAAGGTCAGGTAAGGATACAATAATTTAATCCAGATATTATTAATAATGAGTGCAGATTCAAATTAAAAAAAATAAAGAAAGTGAACTCAATTTCAATTATAACTAAAAATTCACCCTTATTTTCTTAAGAAAATAATGGTATTATAATATTTCTGTTATCATTAATATTAAAATTTTAATTATTTTAAAGTGAAGAGAAGAGTGCACTTGAAAAAATATATGCAGAGTTATAACTGTTAATTGAAAAATGAACGGTTCGGAATGCTTTCATATATTTTTCAAAATTTTAATCTAATTTTTTGTTGTTGGAAACTTTTTAATCTGAAGTTATTATCAACTTCAAACACTCTTATTTATTATTTATTTTTTAGTTTCTAATTATAATTACCTTCAAATATGTTTCAACTTTTTATTATATAATTATATTTTACTTTGAAAACTCTTTATCATTCGTTTTTTTATTTTAACAGAAAATAAAAAAAAAACAATTTGACAAACATGTAATGCAATAAATAGGCTAATTTAACTTTTAAGTTTTAAATTGAGTTGAGTTAATAACATGCTTGACTGAAATAAAATTTGATGAATTTGATATTGTAAAGAACCAAATCAACCAAAAACCTTAAACTGTTAGGTGAGATTACATTAATGTTTTTATATATCTCAACATCCCCTCACTCGAAAGCTTACTGGGCTTGAAGGGTGGACAATGCACAGGCCCCCCACCTACCTGTGCGAACAAAAAAATTTCACTAGAGAGAAAATGAAGGGCGGTGAGGATTGAACCCGGGACACGAGGCTATGATACCATGTAAAGAACCTTGAGATACACCACCCCAAAAGTTAGCTCAAAGTGTGGGAGTGCCCAAAGCCTTGTAAACTCCATATTAGTTGCTCATACAACCAATATGAGACTATATATCTCAACACGCCCCCTCACACAAGAGCTCATTGGACTCGAAGAGTGGATGATGCAACAGGCCCAGCCTACCTGTGCTAAGAAATTCCACGAGAGAAAGTGGGGGGCGACGAAGTTTGAATCCGGGACACGAGGCTCTGATACCATGTAAAGAACCAAATCAACCCAAAAACTTAAGCTGTTAGGTGAGGCTACATTAATGATTCTATATATCTCAACAAATATTTCTCCCGTAAATAATAAATAATGAGTAAACACCTTCTTTAGTCACTGTCAATATCTACGAAGTCTTTTTTAGTCCCTGGCAATAAAAAAGGACCAAATTGGTCCCTGAAAGTACAAAAAAAGGCCATGTTAGTCCTTATGTCAACTCCCAAATATGTAGAGTGGCCCTTTTCTTGTACTTTCAGGGACCAATTTGGTCCTTTTTTATTGTCAGAGACTGAAAATGACTTCGTAGATATTGTCAGGGACTAAAAAGGGTGTTTACTCATAAATAATTTTATTTCCTGTATACACATGAAAATGAATGAATTTTTCTTTTCATCTTTCTCTTTACTCCTCTTAAGGCCTCATTAACTACGCATGAAATATAGCTATCTTATACTTGTAAGAGAAACATTAACCCCAAATTTAATTAATTGTATATAATTGCATTATTATTTTTAAATAAATAGCCAGTATAATTGTATTATATAATTCAAAAAATAATGGTAACTTGGGTCGTGGACAACCCACCTACCGTGGAAAAACGGGCTACTAAGTCCAATCCAAGTAAGCAAGTGCTCCTTACAAGCCAAGGTGGGAATCAATTCTGGTTTTTGTTATCCAAAGACAATTCTCTTTCTTGAAACAAAATACTCCCTAGATTCTCTCTTCATGTCTCTTTCCATATATATATACATCATTTTCAACTTAAATGTAACCTTTACATTTATTTACTGAAGAAAGAGTTTCCTGCTTTTTCCAGCCATTCCATAACAGTCTCCTACATTTTGTGAAAATTCAATTTTTATTTCACTCACTTTAATTACCCCACATTGTTATGATACGGATCATAGCATAGCAGGGGAGAAATATTAAAGTGTAAAACAAAAAATGCTTCAGCTGCTACACGGGACGCTTAGGGTAACCATAATTGAAGTTGATAGGCTGCAAACTGGATGTAATTTGGATTTCTGCATGAAGGTATCTTCATTATAAACTCTCTCTTGTTTTAATCATTACGGGGAAAATGGGAAAGAAAAGTTAAGGGTGTGTTTGGTTTGTTTATTTTTATTTTCAATTGATATGTTTGTATTAATAATTTAAAAAAATGTCATTTTGTTTCCTATTTTTAAGAATTTATAAAGAAATTAATAAAAATAACAAAATCTTATTTTTATCATTTTTTTTTTCAAAAAATTTAAAGATATAAAATAAAATGAAAACAAAATGATATATTTGTAATTATTGATAAAATATATGAAAAAAAAAGAAAAACCAAATGTACCGTAAATATGTTTAAATTTCATATAATAAAAAGAGATTGGTTATACTTATTAAGTTATATTTATCATCTCTTATTGTCATTTTTATTACTCTCATATTAAATTTAGATTGACATCTCCCACTAACCTCATGATAATAAATTATTGACACATTACTAAAAGAGAAAAAATTTCAAGATAAAAGATCAAAAATTTTAACCTACAATACATTTTTATGGGAAGTGGTGAGAGAAATAAATCCCTTTTTTTCTTTTCTCTCTTTCTTTTCTTTTATAAAAGAAAAGTGCATAACGAAAATGTAAAAAATAAAGTGTAAGAATGACCTTAGTGAAGCACGAATTGCTAAGTTCTAGACAGTAATGGATTCCCCTAAGCTTCATATGTCTCCGTTAAAGTATAGCACAATGTGTAACTTTGAATCTAGTATCAACAGGGCTGTGGAAAACAGTTATGATGTAATGATTGTAGCTAGTTCAATATGGCAGATATGTTCTTTCTGATATATATATATATATATTTTGGTAACATGTTCTTTCTGATCTTTAATTAGGTTGCTTCATGGTTTAAATTTTTTTGGGGATGTATTGGCCTGACAATAATTACCTCTGTATCTCAAATGCTTTATTGCATTACTTTCTTTTCAAGAGAAATTAACATATTTTAAGTTGTTCTCAATCTGTCTTATGTTTCGTTTTCTTCTTAAATTTCTTGGAACAAAGGACACAACACACAAGGGGAAGAGATTTCTAGCCCAAGTCAAGGGCTGTCTGCTATGCCGGCCTGAGGCATGTTAACCAAACTTTCTAACCATTTTTTATAATTTGTTACTATATAGTTCTTTCTCTTTTATAGGCAACATGCTTCATTTTCTATACTTACAATATGTGAAAACTTTTCTTGTAAATCCTAACATGTAAAAACTTGATGAAGATTGTTGGAACGAGACTCTATGCAACAGTTGATTTAGATAAGGCAAGGGTTGGACGGACAAGAATAATTGGAAATCAGCCCTCCAACCCCAAATGGAAGGAGACGTTTGAAATTTATTGTGCCCATCAAATCTCAAACATTGTATTCACTGTCAAAGATGGTAATCCAATTGGGGCAACACTAATTGGAAGAGCTTTTATACCTGTTGAGCAAGTTATCAAGGGCCCCATAAGTAATAGATGGTTTGAGATTTTAGATGAAGAAGATCATCGTCCTATACCAGGTGGCTCTAAGATTCGTGTCAGCGTGAATTTCACTAGTGTTACACAAGATAAAAGATGGTCTGAGGGAATATGGACGCCGTTTGTTGGAGTTCCTAGAACATTTTTCAACCAGAGACAAGGTTGTAGTGTTACTTTATACCAAGATGTCCATGTCCCTCGTAGCTATCTCCCTTGGATTCCAATATCTGGAGGGAGATATTATGAGCCTGGAAGATGTTGGGAGGACATTTTCAATGCCATTATGGAAGCAAAACAATTTATTTACATAACTGGGTGGTCTGTGTATACTGAAATAACCTTGATTAGGGACACAACTGTGTCGAAGTCAATAACACTTGGTGAACTGCTCAAGATGAAAGCTGATGAAGGTGTTAAGGTTCTTATGCTTGTTTGGGATGACAGAACTTCTGTTCCTGAATTTAATAAAGATGGCTTGATGGCAACCCATGATCAGGAAACTGCGGATTACTTTAAAAACACAAATGTGCATTGTGTTTTGTGTCCACGTAACCCTGATGGTGGAAGAAGCATAGTTCAAGGTTTTCAAGTCTCAACCTTGTTTACTCATCACCAGAAGACTATAGTTGTTGACAGCCAAGTTGAAGGATCGAAGAAGAGAAAGGTCATAAGTTTTGTAGGTGGGATTGATCTTTGTGATGGGAGATATGATACTCAAGAACATCCACTGTTTTCAACTCTAAATACATTCCATCATGATGATTTTCATCAGCCAAATTTCACAGGCGCTTCCATTAAGAAAGGTGGTCCAAGAGAACCATGGCATGACATTCACTGCAAGCTAGAAGGACCTGTTGCATGGGATGTGTTGTACAATTTTGAGCAAAGGTGGGAGAAGCAAGTTGGGAAGCAATTACTATTCTCAATTGATCAGCTTGATCAAATGCTGGTCCACCCATCTGAGGCAATGACATCGGAAGAAGATAATAGGGATGCATGGACTGTTCAGTTGTTTAGATCCATTGATGGTGGTGCAGTTTCTGGTTTCCCCCAAGCCCCTAATGAAGTTGCTGAATTAGGCCTTGTTAGTGGGAAAGATAGCATCATTGATAGAAGTATTCAGGATGCTTATGTAAATGCTATTCGACGAGCAAAGAACTTCATCTACATTGAAAATCAATATTTCCTAGGGAGTTCATATGGTTGGAAAGCGTCTGATATCAAAGTTGAGGATATTGGTGCTTTGCATCTTATACCAAAGGAGCTTTCATTGAAGATTGTTAGCAAGATTGAAGCAGGACAGAGGTTTTGTGTCTACATTGTCATCCCAATGTGGCCAGAAGGTATACCTGAGAGTGCTTCTGTTCAGGCAATATTAGATTGGCAAAGGAGGACCATGGAGATGATGTATTCTGACATTGCTGATGCCATACGGAAGAAGGGAATTGAAGCACACCCTCGGGATTATTTGACATTTTTTTGCCTTGGCAAGAGGGAGAGTCGTATAGTAGGAGAATATACTCCTCCAGAGGAACCAGAGCCTGACAGTGACTATAGAAGAGCACAAAATGCAAGGAGGTTCATGATCTATGTTCATTCTAAGATGATGATAGGTAAGAGATCAATTAATCCTATAACTTATATAATAATATCAATATCTTCTTGTCCAAACAAAATTTGTCCATGCTGATTCTCACTGTTTCCTTTCATGCAAATTTGGAATAAAATAATATATTGTCCCACATTTTGATTATACATGTTGGTTATATAATTTGTTCAAACATACATACACGTATACAGTTTGTTTGACATTAAAAGTAAATAGACCTATCTATTTGGCATGATTAGCATTGTTAGTGTCAAGTTGGGCATATAGACTAACATTGGTGGCTTGATTATGGTTCCTTTAGTGGATGATGAATACATAATCATTGGTTCTGCCAACATCAACCAGAGGTCAATGGATGGTGGAAGAGACACAGAGATTGCAATGGGTGCGTTTCAACCGCATCATCTAGCATACCGTGCCCGACAAGGACCAAGAGGTCAGATATATGGGTTCAGGCGAGCATTATGGTACGAACATATTGGGGATCCTCATGATGAAGTGTTCGACGAACCACAAAGTAAGGAATGTGTGAACTTTGTGAATCATCTTGCTGAGGGGAACTGGGAGTTATACGCCAAGGACACATATGATAATGCTCCATTTCACCACCTTTTGCGCTACCCTGTACACGTTGCCTACGATGGAACTATAACAACACTGCCAGGGCTTGAATTTTTTCCTGACACTAAGGCAAAAATTCTTGGCTCAAAATCTGATTACCTTCCTCCAATCCTCACCACCTAGCTAGCACATTGCTCATCAGGGTAATTATCATATACACCTCCATATATAATTCACAACTACCTTAATTTAAGGCTACTGAATATATGTATATCATCTTGAAATTGTGTTCTTTTCTACATGTACAGTCTTGTATGCTGTTAATTACTGTTAATCAAGATGGATATAACAGATTCTACATCTTCTTGATGAATTCTCTTAATATCCATCTTATTTGAAATAGAAAATATTATATAAAGAACGGAAAGATTTTATATTTTTAGAAAGAGATTCCGTTGAGATTGGATTAGTGACACTGACAAGAAATTTGAATAATTACAAGTTTAAATCAATAAGTTACCATTGCAAAAAAAATGAGATTTTTTTCAAATACGATCAGTATTTAATAATTTTTTAAATGATTGAAAAGTTATTAGACTGATTTATTCCAATGATATATATTTAATGCACGGGATCAATACTGTAATCATGTAAATAGAAAGAGGGTTAAACTTCATTTTCACATATTGTGGTTTTGTGATTTATAATTCAAACCTGTGATTTTAATTAGACTTATTGTGCTTAAATAATTTATCATTTAACTCCTTATGATTTCAAATTTTCACTTGGTCCCTTCGTGGTTACAAATTTTTTCACTTACACCTCTTTGGTTTAAAAAATAAAAATTTAAAATAAATTGTCTCTATTTTTAATTTTATATCCTCGTGTAATGCATTTAAGGTTTAAAAAATATTTCAAGTTATGTATTTGAAATTAAAAAAATATTATTTAAGACAAATAAAATATGTATTATCAAAATAAGATATTTACTTTTGATAATGATGTCAAACTAAAAAGTTTTACAATAAATTTTATTGGAACTCTCTCTCTCTCTCTATATATATTTATATTGGAACATAATCTTTTGATAATGATGTCAAACTAAAAAGTTTTACAATAAATTTTAACTGTTAATTTCCGTCAATCTAACGGTAATAATTTATTGAGAATTTTTAAGAATTAATAATTAATTAATAAGTGTTACTTAATAAATTATAACTCCTAAATTCACGTAAATCAACGGTTAAAATTTGATGTCAAATTTTTTAATTCGACACTGGTGTCAAAAAAATCCTGCCATATATATATATATATATATATATATATATATATATATATATATAGGGACAGGATATTCTTACACCGGTGTAAGAGTTAGAAGTCTTACACTCAATCTTGACCATTGATCCACTTGTATCCAATGGCTCATATTACTAAAAAATTAGAGCCCTTAGATATAAGTGAGACCAGTGGACAAGATTGAGAGTGTAACTTACATTTGTGTAAAATGATCCTGACCCATATAGGGACAGGATATTCTTACACCAGTGTAAGAGTTAGAAGTCTTACACTCAATCTTGACCATTGATCCACTTGTATCCAATGACTGATATTACTAAAAAATTAGAGCCCTTAGATATAAGTTGTAACACCCTGTTCTAGAACCGGTTTGTTAACATCGCATTATGATGTTAAGCGCAGTTATAATCACATTGGGTCAATTAGAAATTCGAGTAAATTTTTCTTTTCAAACAAGTCGAATTTCAAATAACCAATTGCGTGACCATAACCATATTACTTTGCAGAATAATTAAACTAAGCTTAACATCATATTCTCATTTTATTAGACCACACGTCGTTAAATGTCTACATCTCTTTTGTTATCAATTAATTCTATACTACCTTTATAGTTCTCACCTCCTATTATGTTATAGATCTCCTTGTTAGCTTCGAGTGGGTTCAAACCGCGCTCAAATCGGAGATCTGTAGTTCAAGTTGTTCTAATTTTTTTTTTTTTTGATAACAAGTTGTTCTAATTTTACTAAACTATGTTCATGCTGTTTTCGGGATGAGCGTTTTAGCGCCCAACTTGAGCGTTTTAGCGCCCAAAGGCAGAAAGTTTAGCCTTCTACAGGTCTCCAGAGCGTTTTAGCGCCCAAGGACAGAAAGTTTAGCCTTCTGCGGGTCTCCATAACGTGTTAGCGCCCAACTTGAGCGTTTTAGCGCCCAAGGGCAGAAAATTTAGCCTTCTGCAGGTCTCCAGAACGTGTTAGCGCCCAACTTGAGCGTTTTAGCGCCCAAGGGCAGAAACTGGGCAAAACATGCCCTCTCCTGTTTTCATATGACTTCATGGGATATTTCCTCCCACTTTCACCACTTTCTTAACACCTAATAGACATTATACAACTTCAATACATGATTCTTTCAAGGTACTCATTTATCATAGAAACATGCATACCCTTTCATCATATACATATACCCAACAATTACAACATTACATCATTGCAATATGTCTTAATTACAAATCATGAGACTTAGCTATAAAACACTATGATCAACCCCTTAGCTCTCATCAACAAAAGAGGTACCAAAAGAGATGAGCATAGGCTAAGTCCATCAAAATAGAAGATGACATACATATAGCAATTGGCTTTCAAATGCAAATCCTATACATGGTACTGCTACATGTCATGTATAATCCAAAAGAATGCAACATCTTCATGCATCCGGAGGCTCCTGCAGCATCTTTACCTGAAAGGGGGTCCCCACAACACGGGGTGAGATATACGAATATATCACAATAAACCAGGGGTCCTTGGAGCATCTCTCCACCCCATAGTTCAATCATAGTGTAATAGCAATAACAATAATAATGCAAATACATATCCATGCAGTGTGTAAACAACATCTCCAGGAGAAATCCCTCGAGCTCTCAAGCTGTCTTAAGGATACTCAGATGCAAATAGTCCTACTGGCCAACTAAACTACCAAGTATGATTTACGCATCGTCATGCAACATACCAACATAGGGAAACACCATTCTATGCCACACCAAAGCATACACATACGTATAACAAAGCATTAAACTATTTCATTGCATTTATATACACTATCACAACCACTACCCAACCATGGCTTGGTGGAACAATCAAGGGAATTACACCCAAGGTCCGAAGGCTTACCTCAAAGCTTCAGTTCAACCTTTGTTCACCAACAAGTTTTGCCACCAATTACAATAATCACTTTTACAAACAACCACCTACACAAGGTGTAATGCAATCAACATATTGCATTCAAGAATATCTTATAATCATCAACCAAACTATCCAATTCGTACCACAACAAAAGCATGGACTTACCTATTCCAATGAGCTAATCAAGCTCCATAGCTTGCTCCAATGGTTGGTCACTCAAGATTGGTCCAAATGCCTCAATCCTAGACATAACATGGACACCATCAATATTCAACCAAACCAAACCATTGATTTCTAATGCATGAAAGTCCAACATCAAGCACTAAACCTTGCAATTTTCAAAGCATAACCAATGACTAACTAAGCTCATTTTCACCGATTAAATGTCATTACTAACATTTTTCATAACATTCACCAAGTCTCAATCCTCCTAAAACATAGCCAATCTATCAACATTTTCATAAAACCCTAAACACTATTCATCATCTTCCCCAATCATGCAATTTCCATGAAAATAAGGTTCAAGGAGTAGAATCTTACCACCAATGGTTACACAATCAAGGAGTGATGGTTCCTCAAGCTTCCAAGGAGCCAAATGCTCCCCAAACCCCTTCAACCTTCAAAGGGTCAGATTTTTGAGAGAGAAAATCTCACAACACAAAGATCCCCACAACAAACCTAGCTTGGATTCAAGAAGAGAGAAGGATTTGGAGTGGTTTAGGCTTTTGAATGGATGATTTTGGTCAAGGTTTGCAACATCTAGGGTTTTCCCCTCACCTTTCTCTCTTCTCCCTCTCTTCTCCTTCTTCTCTTCCCTTCCTTTCTTTCTTCTTCTGTCGATGGGAATGGGAGGGACAATGGGTCTTTTTTTTTGTTTTTAAATCACTTAACATTAGTTAAGTTGTTTTGAACGGGTATCAGCTCATCTATCTATTTAACTCCATTAATTACCAAACTTTACCCAAAAGTCTGGAATATTTTTCTAGGAATATTTTCACATTTATTTTTATATTTTGGGTACTTTTGCCTACACCCATTTATACTCCTTAATTTTCACTGAGTACATTTTTTACCTCAAAAGTGATCCTAATTGATTTAATTAGGCACTATACTTAATTTTACTCACTAATACATGCTTAATTATTTAATCACATTTAATTTACTAATTAATTAGGCTAGGGCTATTATATAAGTGGGACCAGTGGACAAGATTGAGAATGTAACTTACATTGGTGTAAAATGATTTAAGAGATAGGATCCTTTGACACCGGTGTCAAACTTTAAAATTTAACACCAAATACTAGCCGTTGATTTTCGCCAATCAACGGTTATCATGTATTGGAAATTAATAAGTTTGATTGGCATAAATTATAACCGTTGATTAGTGAAAATCAACAGTTAAGATTTTATGTCAAATTTCAAAGTTTGATACCAATGTCAAAAGATCCTATAGCATGATTTAATTAGTGATCTGCTACCAAAAAAAAAAAAGATTAGTGATCAAATCGTACTGATCATTTATTGGGAAATTTTTAATATACATAGGGTCTACCAAATTTTCTGTGCTCTTTTTTTTTTTTGGTAAAAAAAATACTCTTAAACTCCTCTCTTTTCTTGTATTTTCCTCTCAATTCTTTTTATTTTCCTTTTTTGACCGAGAGCACCGTACTCCAGGACCATAAAAGAATCGCTCCATTTATTGACAGATTATCCGAACTGGGATCGTGTGTCAACACTACGAAAAATAAGAAAGCTAAGAGCAAGAGCATGTCATGATAGAGTTTACAAGAACCTTTATACTAACTTCATAATTTTGCTATCTTTGTATTTTTTTTCTTTCTTCATGGTAATGGTTTAGTTTACATGAATTTGTGTATAAAAAATAAGGAAAATACTACTCTCATTTTACATAAGATAGTTATATTATTTTCTCTCACTTCGAAAACTGCACCCTTTCTTTATTCTTTTTCTTTTTTACTTTTTAATGGTGGGCCCCACTTAAACTCTCTTTATAGCATGAGAGAACTACTCTCATGTAACATAAGAATAAGACTAATATTTTCCAAAAAAATAATTTAAAAATAAAGTTTTTTTTGTGAGTTTTGTCTCTACAAATAAAGTTTTTTCTATACACACTCAAAAAAAAAAAAATGACAAAAAGTTGGGGTTTGGAAAATGGGAGACAAACCGTGTTCTCCATAGAAGGTAAAAATTAAAATTAGCCATCGTGAATTATTATTTGGCACTCCCCACGTAAAAGGAAGCGTAATGAAAAGCCTAGGGTAGAAAACGGGCTCCAAATCGTAACAAGGAGTGCCAATCCTTGAAATAATTATAACAATTAATAATAATTCTAGGCCTAGCTTATATTCTGCAAGACATGCATCTGCATCACTTCCTTCATAGTTAACTTATTCAGAAAGTTGAAACTGAGTTTATAGGAAGTCCACTAGTAAAATATCTCTTCCTTGAAATTAAAGGAGGGAACTGATTCGAACTTGAGAAAGTACAAAAGTTCTCTTCAAACTTTTATTATGTTTATACAACATATCTCTTGCTTGAGAATTAAGACAAAATATGTTTGTAGAAATCTCTTGCTTGAGAGTTTAGAAAGAATATGCATCAGATTCTGCCTCTCAATGCCCATCTCCATTATCCGTTGATAAATGTACCAATTCAAGCCACTGCCTTCATCGTAACTACAGTACCTTCATCAACATTTTACCCTCCTTAAGCTCCATTTCCATGTAAGCACATTTACTTCATGAAAATTTCCCATTTGCACCATCACGTGTAATTGATTCTAGTCATTCCATAAAATCTGCTTCATGCATGTGTAATGTGTTGTCTGAACTGAAAACTATATATCTTTTTCGCTACTCGCATCCCCTCTTGGTTTATATATAACACTTTTTTTCTTTCACAGCACAGAGAGGGAGAAACATAAAGTATAAACGTAATGTTGTATTTGCTTCACGGGAGGCTCGATGTGACTATATACGAGGTAAATGCACTACAAACTCTTAATCGGTGCAGTTTCAACCTCTGCAGCAAGGTACCTTAATCGAAAAACTCTTGTCTCTCCTGTTTTAATCTTTAATTAACATCATTAAGAGCTAAAAATATAGACGTTACTTGCACCCATAAAAGAAAAAAAAAAATTTCCATCGATTGGTTCAACTTATTTCCCATTTGATTTTAAGTAGATGGACTAGAAGCTTCTCTAGCAGGAGGTTTTGTCTTGTTAACGTGCATAACTGTATGATATTTATTACAATCCTTTTTCTGAAGAATTTGTCATCAGACATATGAACTATTCCTGTATGTGTCAAATCTGAACTGCACTATAGTCTAGAGAAAAAAACTAATCCGAACTCTTATTCTGTTTTCTGTTCATTTCTGCTTTCAAATTTTGTAAACAAGGGTACAAGTACTAGAAGAGCGGGGAAGAAATTTCTTTCCCAACTCAAGAGTCATTTGTTGCGCCTATTCCAATGCCAGCCCGAGGTACCTTGATTCTTGACATGTCTCTCTTTTGCTTAAAGCTAATAGAAAATTTATTTAACTTCCTTATTTAACATACTTCAGTTTCTCTACGTAAATGTAAAATTTCCTTCTGAGTTCTAATTCTTAACATGTAAAAACGATATGCAGGTTATTGGGATGAATCTCTATGCAACGGTTGATTTAGATAAGGCAAGGGTTGGTCGGACTAGAATGTTAGAAGAAGGATCCTCCAACCCAAAGTGGAACGAGACCTTTCACATATACTGTGCACATTTGATCTCCCATATTATATTCACTGTGAAACAAGATGACCCTATTGGAGCAACTCTAATAGGAAGAGCTTATGTCCCCGTTGAACAAGTTATGAACGGGAACATAGTGAATACATGGGTCCAGATACTAGATGAGGATCATCGTCCCATACCAGGTGACTCTAAAATCCATGTTCAAATGCAATTCTCTGATGTTAAGAATGACATAAACTGGTCTCGAGGAATAATGATTCCACGGTTTCAAGGAGTTCCCCACACCTTCTTCGGTCAAAAAAATGGTTGCAAAGTTACTTTGTACCAAGATGCTCATGTTCCAGATGGTTCTTTGCCTCGGATCCCAATATATGGAGGAAAACATTATGAGCCTAGGAGATGCTGGGAGGATATTTACAATGCCATTATGGATGCTAAGTACTTGATTTACATAACTGGATGGTCTGTGTATACTGAAATAACATTGATTAGGGACCAAAGTTCAGAAAGAAGAATCACCCTTGGGGAGCTGCTCAAGAAAAAAGCAGATGAAGGTGTTACTGTTCTTATGCTTGTTTGGGATGACAGAACTTCTGTTCCTGAACTGAAGAAAGATGGCTTGATGGCAACCCATGATCAGGAAACTGCAGATTACTTTAGAAACACAAATGTGCATTGTGCTTTGTGCCCACGTAATCCGGATGATGGAAGAAGCATAATTCAGGGTTTTGAAATTTCAACCATGTTCACTCATCACCAAAAGACTATAGTTGTTGACGCTCAAGTTGCTAATGCTATTGGAAGATGGCAGAGGAGAACAGTCGCATGTTTTATAGGTGGGATTGATCTGTGTGATGGGAGATATGATACACAGGAACATCCATTGTTTTCAACTCTGAATACAGTCCATCATGATGATTTCCATCAGCCAAATTTCCCAGGTGCTTCCATTAAGAAAGGTGGTCCAAGAGAGCCATGGCATGACATTCACTGCAAGCTAGAAGGACCTGTTGCATGGGATGTGATGTACAATTTTGAGCAAAGGTGGGAGAAGCAAGTTGGGAAGCAATTACTACTCCCTTCAAGCATGATTGATGACACTCTTGTCCCTCCTTCCACTGTAGCAACAACAAATGAAAACGAGGCTTGGAATGTTCAGTTGTTCAGATCCATTGATGGTGGTGCAGCTTCTGGCTTCCCCCAAGACCCAGAGGAAGCTGCTGAAAGAGGCCTTGTTAGTGGGAAAGATAACATCATCGACAGAAGCATTCAGGATGCTTATATAAATGCTATTCGCCGAGCAAAGAACTTCATCTACATTGAAAATCAGTATTTCCTAGGGAGTTCATATGGTTGGCAAGCATCTGATATTAAAGTTGAAGATATTGGTGCTTTGCATCTTATACCAAAGGAACTTTCATTGAAGATTGTTAGCAAGATTGAAGCAGGACAAAGGTTTTCTGTCTACATTGTCATCCCAATGTGGCCAGAAGGTATACCTGAGAGTGCTTCTGTTCAAGCAATATTAGATTGGCAAAGAAGGACAATGGAGATGATGTATTCTGATATAGCTGAAGCCATAAGGAGAAAGGGAATTAGAGCTCACCCAAGGGATTACTTGACTTTTTTCTGCCTTGGAAATCGTGAGGGTAAGAAAGATAAAGAATATACTCCTACTGAGGCACCAGAGCCTGACAGTGATTATAGTAGAGCACAAAAGTCCAGGAGATTCATGATCTATGTTCATGCCAAGATGATGATAGGTAAGGGACTCTTTGATCTTCTTGTTTGATTCTTTTTTTCCTTTCATATGTATGTGGTCATGAATTAATAAATTCTTGTGACTTTTGCTTCCTTCAGTTGATGATGAATACATTATCATTGGTTCTGCTAACATAAACCAGAGATCAATGGATGGTGCAAGGGACAGTGAGATTGCAATGGGTGCATTCCAACAACGTCATATAACATCAAACGGGACACCCAGAGGACAGATATATGGATTCAGACGTGCATTATGGTATGAGCACATTGGAAATATTAATGATAACGAAGCAAGCATCTTTGACAGTCCAGAAAGCGTGGAGTGCATCAACCTTGTGAATCGTTTTGCTGATACCAACTGGGACTTATACTCAAAGGAAACATTTGATGAATCTAAACCATTTCACCACCTCATGAGCTACCCCATAAAAGTAACCAACAATGGAGCCATAACAACCCTTCCAGGGCTTGAATATTTTCCTGACACCAAGGCTCGGATTACGGGTTCCAAATCAGATTACCTTCCTCCAATTCTCACCACCTAGCCATTATTGTGCTTATCTGATTAATTACCCCCAACTTAGCATGAGACAATGTTTAAAAAGTCAACCATGTAATTACTTGTTGGGAGAAGGGTGGAGAGAAATTGAATGTATATATATCTACATATATAATTACTATAATCATTTAATAGTAAATGTAATGTCTTTTCTTTAAATAAGAATCTTTGAGACCATGTTTGCAAGTTGCAACTTTACCTATAAGCTCCTGTTTTTCTAGTTTCTCCAAGGCCATTTTCTTTATTGTATGCTTTCGTTGTCCTCCTCATGCTAACTTTCAATATACATATTTTAGAGAGAATGAACAAAGTAGCATAAATTTTTAAAAAAAAATAGTATAATTTGAAAAGAAAATTATCAATATAATATAGTTTGAAACTATTTATTAAATTGACGTAGTTTGATTTTTTTTTTATCACTTTTGATCTTATAGATTCCACAATTATAACACATAATAAAAACAACACTTGTCATATTTATGGCCCACATGATTAAAATATCAAATTATATATCTTTTTAATTGTGCTATTCTGATAGATGTGTCCATACTTTAAAGCAACTAATTTAGGAATATTCTTTTTAGATGAACTGATTAGGAAGAGTTATTTTACCTATTTTTAAATAAATAATATATCATAATCAAGTAGATAAGGACCAAATCAGCAAGAGATAAGTCTTTAACAAGAGTGTGCTCCTGCAATGTCTTAGGAAAATAATGACAATGAACTTAAAAGTAAAATGTCAAAAAGAAAGTTAAAGTAAAAAGTTGTTGGCTTGCCCAACTTTTATTTCCTATTAGAGGGCACAAAATTTGATTGATCTTATCTAATAAGCTTCTGCAAATAAAGATGGGTAAAAATACAAACCCATTGGTTGGAAAATGTATAGTGACAGAAAAAGTTTCCCCTGTAACCAAACAGGAACTTTCTTAGGTTCCATACTCAGCTAGTTGATTCTTTCCTGACATTTTTTTTGTATTGGGAACCAAACACGTTGAATATTTGCTGGCTTTTGTCCTCTTTTATTTTCTTTATTAAATTCTGAGATGTTCTCCACTATTTTTATTTATTTTTATTTTTAAAATTTTGCATGCAGGGTATTGAATTATCTCCTTCCTGGATTTAGATTTTTAGGTGACAGATCTCTGCACTGACTTCTGTAAATGCATATCTGTAGATATGTTCCACCTTGGCTCAGTCAGATTCTGGCCTGCATGGGGTAAGTTCTTGAAAATTAAAAAAGATTGAATTTTTCATATCAATATACTTGTACTGTTCTACCCAATTTGACTAAACCATGAAGGAAATCTCTTTAATAGATATGTGATCTTGTTTTTGTATATATAGATATATATAATTTTAGTTTACTCACATTTTCAAGTGAGTTAGTTTGGTCTTGTAAAATGTTGATGGAACAAAATGAACTCAGAAAATGGGTTATGCGAGATCCAATACCACTGGCCTCAAAGGAAGGTGATGATGTGTTACTGATTTATAGTCCTGGAATTTCAGGAAACTATAAATTTGATATTTTTATATTGCTTTGCCTCTTTTGGGCTTTCTGGGTAAGTTAAGGTCTTTCTATGTAGTTTTTAGTACTATTTTTAAAACCCTAATGTGCAAGGGGCTTTTCAGTGTAAGGAGAAATTATTTCATCCTGAATTTGATTTCAGGAAATTATTGTTACACAAACTGCAGACATCTTCTTCCCATATTATAAGAGGTATCTTTCTGCTACATATCATGGATTTTGGTGGGAAAAATAGAAATAGAAGACAAAGAAGCTGTTTTTGAGCATCTCTCAATGTTTTAATTGTAAAGCTGATGTTGTAGTTCTTGCCTGTAAGGCCTGGGTACATCTTTTATTGATTCTATCTTGCTATCCTTCCAATCTTCAGCTGGTGCCTTTATCTATTTCCATGTTACTTGGCATGATAATATTTTTGGATAAGGTTTTTTTCTGTTTATCTATATTTGAAGGAAATATCTATGATAGATAACTTATAATCTTTAATTAAAATTTATCTTGCTGGTTTAATCAAATACACCAGTTAATGAATACCTGGAAGTTACTGCTGGGGACTGATAACTTAATATGCAGATTTAACATTTGTAGGCATTGACTGTAGTCTGTAACAGAAAAACTAAAAGCAGAAACCTGTTCTTTTATCATGCAAAGAAGAAAGACACAGAAGTTATTTAGATGAAGTTCATATTTATTCAGTGTGCTAATTGACTGAGAAAGTCTCCAACAAAAATATCATACCAAAATAATTTATCAGTGAGCATGCCCACAAAGTATGCTGATAGATCTCTCTGTTTTACTTTCCCTTTAAATTAAGGTATATGTATTGTTTAGGTAAATGAGAAGAACAATAGTGTAAATGGAGTGAACCACTCATGCTAGGTTGGGTTGTTCAACTAGAGTGGCAATCTATTCCTGCAATTATTTGTCATCAAAGTCATCTTCTTTTAATCCTAGCTGATAGATTAATAGTTGGTGTTAATCATGCTTGTGGTTAAACCTGCTTTGTAACAGAACAGAGGTTGTCTTGGGTGCTTCGTAAAAACTCCGATAATTATTTCAATGGACGAGGCATCTAAGGGACTAAGAATTCAAGGCCAAACAATGAAGATTGACAGCAGATCAGAAGAGTTTTGGAGCAGCAGCGCTTTTGAAATAGATCATAGTGCCGCTCAGTCCCACGGAAGCATCTCATCGACTGGCATATCAAACCATCCTTGTGATCCTCAAAGTAGTGCTGGCAGTCAGATTCATCCTCCTGAATATGTCAATCATGGCAAGTTTGCTGTTAAGTCATATGTGTCAGTTTATCTATTACCTGTTGGCTAATCAGTTAGTCTCATACTTAATCAAAGGGTTCCTGTGATCTTGTATCTTCTTGGTAGCCATTAACTCTACTCTGGAAACAATCTTGCTCAAATTGTTAATAGAGTCATGGCTGTAATTTGTTAACTGTCCAGGGACAGTTACAATTAAAAGTAAAACTGCCTTGAAAAAGCGTGAATGCCACTCTTTTAGTGCTGGTTCTGCAATGCAGCTGCCACTTGTATTTTTCTTTTCCCTTCGTTGTCTTATCTCTCCCCTCAGGCAAATTAGTTACACAGCCCCTGCATGTCTTGTTGTCGTATTATATTTCACCTTTCTCTATGTACTTTTTCTTGTAAACTGTAATTTCTTTCATCTTGATATAGTCACTTTAATTACATGTAATTGCTATTTATTGAACTTAAGAGTTAAAAACTAGTATTTGGGATTTTCTTTGATAGCATATATAATTTTATTTTCATTTTATAGCATTTTCATTCTTGTATTTTTTTTACATTTTCTTGCATTTCTATCAATTGGTTGCTATAGCGACATAAAAGTTTGATGTATGCAGGTCTTCTTCTCTGGAACCAGACAAGGCAACAATGGGTTGGAAATAGAAGGCCTGAGAATCAGACACAAGCTGGAGAATCCAGATTAAGGTAAAAAAAAGTTTATAAGGTTTCTGCAGGAAGCCTTAAAGTATTGACTCGTAAAATGAACATATTACAAAGGCAAATATAGTATTGCATGATTTTTCCATTGATCATTCGTGTCCTGGTCTGCACATTTCTGGCTTGCAACCTGAGCTTATACTCTCATTGACCAGGTTTCTACAATCTACATTGTACAAATATCAAACAGCACTTCAGCTTTTTTCCTTAATTTTCATTAAAAGGTGGGAATTTTATTGTTTTGGCCTTAAAAATCTTCTGCTATTAGCGCATTTATGATCCGTTGCAAGAGCATTTTCAATCCAAGTAGGGAAATTGATTGAGAGGTGGGAGAGGTGGAAGTGGTCTCAAGCTATATAGCATTCAATTCAAAGTTACTTTTTAACATGTTGTCAAGCTCTAATGCCAGAGTTTATGTTTCACAGTTGGAATGACACCTACGGAAGTCTACTTGGGACTAATAAGCATTTTCCCCAGCCCATTCCTCTTGGAGTAAGTTCTTGCATACAAGGTTCTTTATCTGTTGATATTCTTTTATAAGGGAGTTAAGTACGTGCCCCCTAACTGATTATAATATTATACCTGACAGGAAATGGTTGACTTTCTTGTTGATATTTGGGAGCTAGAGGGTATGTATGACTGAGCAGGCAAAGTAGGCTCTTTGTTTTTTCTTAGATTTTGCAGCATAGAGGTGAGGTAGAATTTCTTTGTCCTCCTCCAGTCCTGCAGAATACTTGTACATAGGGTAACTCTTACTAGTTATTTTTATTTTATCTTTCATAGTCTAGAAAACAGTATGTTTACAAAAATATAATGGTGAAATTGCGTATAATTGACCCTCATCCTTGTCATCTCTCAAAGTTGGGGAGTTTTGTATACTAATTTTTTTTATTAAGGATAGACAAATCATCCGCAGCAAAGGGAATGCTATGTTAATTTCATGCTTCAGCTAATGCAAGCTTCTGTCTTAAGCAAGGATATTTGAGAACTGATGCTGTTAAGAACTGACAAAGGACATGTTATCCCAGGATGGTCACTTGTGTTTATGTTCATGGCCTGATATTTGTCACCTCTCAAATTAAGATGTGATCCATCCACTGCTGCAATTTCAAGTAATTGTTAAAGAAATGAAGTAAATTAGAATTAGGGTAGTTAGGGTTCATGTCCTGATACCAATAGCTAAAAAATAATCTGAGTTGCCTAGAGCAATTTGATCATATAGATACACAGTAAGCATGTTCATTACACATATATTGAGAATTAAAGCTTGAAATTGTATATCTGACATTAGGGAAAGATCCATTTTATTTTGTTCTTCAAAGAATTAGCTGCTCTCTTTCTTTCTGGTCTCTGTCTAATGGGACAACTAAAAAGGCTATTTAGTATTTACTGATACGCAAAACCGCAAGTCTCCATCTAATGGCACAAAGATTATCTCATATTAGAGTAAATTGGCAATACATGAGTAGTCCAACTCATTGCAGATTATCTATTTCAAAACTTATTACAATATTCATCAATTGGTTAAATGCTATAAAATAATAGTTTTTCATAATTAATATTACCTTTATATTTTAATAATCAAATTTAAATAATTTATTAATATTAATTCTTAAAATAAAATAATTTTAAAAACAACACTTGTATAAACTATAAAGTATAATAACCTTTGTTCGCATACTGATTATTAATACACAATAAGAAGTCTTATTTTATGTCACCGGGTGATTGTTTTTAGGCAAAATTATTTCTGTCGCAAACACATATTTACCAGGATAAATTATTTTTTGTCTCTGCAACATATATTTATTTTTACTGGAGAAAAATTGAACCCTTTCTTTTAATAAAAAATTTCTTGTAGAACTTATTTAATGATAATTGGTTCAATTATTAATATTGAGTAAGATAGATAAAAAATTAAAACATTTTAAATTTTATTCCGTCAATAGTCATTCATCAATAGGTCAATATCATATCAAAACGAGAAAACCTTGTCTTTATGGAGAACTTTTTTGTAAGCAGTTTTGAACAAAGAATTTCTGTGTGCTGTGATAGGGACTTCATATCGAATGACGTTGAGATGGAATGGGAAATTGGATGGAATGGCATGGTTGTTTAAAGTTTTTTCCTTCTGTGTCACAGGTGTTGGTTCATATGCAGCATTAGGCCAAGCACGTTTAACCTTTTAGTCAAAGATAACGGACCTAAGACCAAAATAAACGGTAGCACGTGCCAAAACACTACAATGGGTGTGAAATAAAGAACCACAGAACAATTGTGGGCCTGTTGCCACGAAATTGGACCTAAACGCTGACTAACAAAGTCATTAAGATAACCATTGTCTCCCTTTTTTGAGCTGAGAAATAAATAACCATGTTTCACACGATTTATACATGTCTTGATAAAGATAATAAGGTGGACATTAACTCAACATCATGTAGTAATGTTTGCATCCAGTTTAGAGGTGGCTGCCAATATGGGTTGAATTTGATGGGTTAACCCGTCAACCTGTTAAAATGGGATGGTTTGGGTTATATTTTTCAACCCGCCTCAACCCGTCCTGTTTAGTAGTGGGTCAAAATAGGTTAGTGACGGGTCGGGTCGGGTTAGCCTGCAGGTCAGCTTTTTTTTTTTACTATTAAGTAGTATTTTATTTGTCACTAAACTTTTGTGATATACATTTTTTTTTATTTTAGTACTCTCCTAGAAAAATAAAGAAAAAAAACTTTACTTATGACAAAGATTATCCATATATAGAAGCAAAATTAAGTTTCTAAAAAATATTTGACAAAATATTAGCGTATATTTAGGCTTGAGATTGAAAAAAATTAAGGGAAATGTAAAATAAAAATAAGAAATATTATAAAATTAATAAAATATAATTTATTATTATTTTTAATTATTTTCTGTTTTTTAGGCGGATTGACCTGCCAACCCATCTCAAAACAGGGTGGGTTGATGTTTCCAACCCACCATCAAACGGTGGGTCAATCCGCCCTGCCCCGTTTTTGGCGGGTTGAAGGTGGGACGGGACTGGTTGACCCGTTTTGCCACCTCCAATCCAGTTAATATGTTTCCTTTAAAAAAGGTTTGGTCATAATATAATGTAAAAATATGTTTTATTAAATCGTCGATTTAAGCCTAATGTATATAAATCTAAAATATTCAATTAATACAAGGATCGATATTAACTCATTAAACTTATGTAACTTACAAGTTTAAGGTGGGTTAAATTTGAGTAAAAAAAAAAAATTTATTGAGTGGAGTTTATATTTATATAACTATAACTTGACTTAATTTATAAAGAGTTATTTCAACCTAAAGGCTTAAATTATTAAGTGAAGGCATATTAATAATTTTATATTTTATATCATATTTCTGTAACGTAACTTTATTTATTTTTAACCTTAAATGCAGTGGCGTAGCCACGTCCACGCCAACAGGTGCCAAGGCATTTGATTTTTTTCTTTTTTTTACTTATTATATATATTATATAATTAATTATAATTAACCGATGTTAAAATTATAATTTGGCACCACCTAAATAGAAAACCAAATACTCAATACAAAGTAACAACAAACCATCTAAATGCAAACAAATAATAAGGAACATGTATAGTATGGTTATTTTTGTGTTTCATCTTTTTTGATTTTTTATCTTGTATATTTGTTTTTTTTTCTCTTTATTCTAATCAGTTATGTTATTTATTCTTACTCCTATTATTTTAAAAAAACAAGATTTCTAAACTTAATCACAAAAATAATTTGTTGACCTATTTCAAAATTTGGGTCCAACTAAACCAAATAAGCCCATTTAAAAGTAGGGAAAATGGTTTGTTCTTTTAAAGGACACAACCTTGTGTCCATTAGTTTTTGACACTATGTCTTACCGGTAAGACATAGTTATAAGATGAAGAAAAAAAATTCTTTCCTCAGTCACTTAAGCTGAAAAGAAACTTTTGATGTTATAACTATGTCTTACCGGTAAAACATAGTATTAAAAATTAAAAGGACACAATTTATGTCCTTTAAAATGATACACACTTAATTATTGAAAGTAACAATCATAAAACCAAATGAATAACACGTCGATATTTATAGTAAATAACAATTGTTCATTTGAATTTTCAATGTTACGTGACATTATTTAGTACATAATTTAGATAACTATGTTAAAATTTATAGTAAATTTTTTCCTGATAAATTTGTATAATTATAATAAATATTTTGATAATTTGATATGTCAAAATTTTTTGCACTACCTAAATTTTTGCGCTGGCTTCGCTACTGCTTAAATGTGATTTATCTGAAAATATATATTTTACAAAGTAGATACATTTAAGTCTTGATTGTTGTGAGGGCAATAGTTACAAAATACATTAAATTGAAGGAATTAGTTAATGAAAGTATTAAAAAATTACATCCACATCTTTTAACATTCTTTTGGTATACGACAATATGAAAACTTGAAGTCAAGATATCTTCCAAAAATATTCAGTTTCTTGCTACTGGGTAAACTTGGTGGTTTCGTATTTTTTTTTAATTTTCCGTAATTTTTTTTTCATGTTATATTAATGAATGAATAATTTGAACTGTTTAAAAAATAGATAATATTTAATTCTTATCTAATAAAAAATAATTTAAGAAATTGATAATAGCCTACGTGCGTGTTTTCTACCATTGAAAATTTTTCGTCAGATAAAGGGAGAAAAAAAAAATTAAGGTCGGGGCCAATTCAAGAATGAGAATTGAATGCGATAAGATGCCCCCAGTTCCATTATGAGGTTCAACTCTGTCTGTAACTCATAATCACATCTAGCTTCTATTGAAAATTGGATGTTGACGATAACAATATTTTCTGCGGGAACGAATCGTTAAGCTACACTAGAAACAGCCTATGGTTCTCAATGATCGAACCATCTATCTATATATAAGGGACGTGGCATTATGAATTTTCCTGTGGATAAGAAAAAAAAATCCCCTACAACATATTGGTTTTAATATATTTCCTGTGGGTCTCATCAGGCTAATGTCGGGGTATTCAAATATGATGAATTTTATATTGATTGATAATGACTTAAGTGAAATTCATATAAGTGAAAAGATTCATGAACTCAATATTTTAAAGTTTTTGATTGAAACATGGTATGGAACCCATTTAATATGGTGGTATAACTTTAGCTCATTGATGGTAGTCACCAGCCATAGGTTTCCATTGGACCCGTCTGACAATGATAGACAAAGTCGGGTTGGGATGGAGTTAGTCTAATGATTGACTAAAGAGTTAAATACTTAGCATGAGATAGTCGATTGAGGAGTGTACCAATATTAAATTGGGAAATCATTATCTCCTTCTACATGAGATAAGAACTTTTTCCTACGCAAATTCGTTTTCCGTGTCAATTAATTTTTCTTTTCTTTTTTAATTTAAAATGTGGGACCCACATTTAACTTATTTCTACTTTTTTTCTCTCCTACTATCCTACAACATAAGAAAATATGCACCCTATTAAATTTCACATTTGAAAAGAAGATTATAGAGATATTCAAGTGTGATAAGTCTCACATTGATTAATAATAAATTAGATAAAATTCATATAAATTGAAATACTAATGAATCCAATATCTTAAAATTTTAGGTTAAAACATAATATTAGACTCAGTTAATATAATGAGCCCGCCTTAACCCATGAATAACAATGCTGCATCGAGGGAATCCGCCTGATATCTAATATTCCCTATTCTTCTCGGACGTCAGTTCTCCATCATGGTTCGTGTAACCAAAACTTTAAAGGGCAAAACGACTGTTATGTAATTTTTTGTTTTTAAAAAAAAAATCTCAGATAATACTTTTTTAGACATATTATCAATTTAAGGAGATTAGTCCTGCACACTTTTCATAAAGGACTGTTATGTGCCACCTCAATACATATTTTAAAAATTCAGCAACTGTGTAAACGTGATTAATTTTGTAGAGTGAGCATGCGATACTAGCTTTATGAAATTAATCACAAATAATGGCCAACTTTTTGTTCAAAATAAATCATTTTCCTTACCTACATTTGACATGTGGCAATTCCGCGTGAGAGACGAGACTGATCTTGCATGGATGCAATACGAATTTTAGTGGTTAGTATTATGTTTAAAAATTATATTATTAAAAAAAAAATACATCAAAAGAATTATTTGTTAAAAAAATATAATA